ATTTGCGTCTATCTTGAAGAATCGGACCCTCCAGAAAATCGTGGTCAGTCGATAGTAATGAGCATTTTCAAAAATGTTACTCCACACCCGTTGTGACGATTCTGGTATCACTGATTCTTCCTCGTGAAACTTTTGCCCGGAAGCAACAATCGTAGTTTCGACTTCGCAGAGGCTTCGCTGAGCACACCATCTCACCGTCACGTGTTAGAACAACACCATATGTATTTCTTGACTTTGTTGGTACGTTCGATTCTGTCGATTGTTCAGTCATCCTGGCCACACTTGCTCAACAGGCTATGCGGCGGTGAGATAAATAGGTGGTTAGAACGCTAATTTAGTGACCGGAATGTTTATTATTTGAACCCGACCTTTGCCCCTTGACTTCCCCTGCCTAGGCTTGGGCAACCTGGCAGTATCCTCTTCCTCATGCCTCCTTCGGGTGGCATGGCAATTAGGCACCGAAAGGGTACTTCAGCTGAATAATTTTTATTTTTTCTAGATAATTTCATCCTAGTCTTTGAAAATGAATGCTAGGCACAATCTCTGCTGCATAAACTGATCACCATCATATCATCTTTCGGAATGTGCCTTACGCTTATAAACTTCAAATTCATACTTCAGAACGCGGAGTTTCTGAACATATCTTTTGCAGTTCGAGGTGTCGCACTGGAAGTTGCATAGACTTTTACTCACCTTGGTTCTGTTTGCACTGTGCCTGATGCAGTCAGCGCACAAATCTCAGTTCCAAATCACGTTTGCTGAGTTGCGCCACTTGTGACGTGAAAGTGCATGTCGCTTGGTCTCAAGGGTCGTATGTGCCAAGCTACAAGTATTTGTTATATGGTTGTGAGGCGGAGCTTCTTCGGTCAGATGATGTCATGCTTCTTCAAGCTTTTGACCAGCGATGTTCCACAAGTGTTGCTGATGTCGAATTGCGCCAATGGACTTGTATCGAGATAATTAGAAACTGGGTACGTAGTACTTCAGTCACGGAAAACATCAAGCACCACCAAGTACAGTGGTTCTACCATGTGCTGTGCGTGCCAAAACATCGTCTACGGAGACTAGGGTCGTCCTCCTTGTCCTCTTCAGAATGGCGCAAACTACGAGATGGACAACTTGTGACTTGGCAGAGAGGTGTGAGAGATTACGAAGAGTTTGGATGTTGCTGATGCGGACCACCTTTCAGGGTGGGGTTCTCGTGACCCTGTGTGCTTAAAAGTTAGTGTCACTCAGCTGTTACATCCTTTCGATGTCTGGCTACAATGCCACCCTAAAGAAGCCTGAGGAATGAGATATAATTAGGTCGCGGAAGCCTAGACAGGATCAGTCGGCATGTAGAGGGTGGATGCGGACCATAGTCTGGTCAATAATTCAGCGCCCAAACCATCACGAGTTTGGCTTGAAACGTTACAAAAAGCAGCAGCTAATCGAATTCAGTGGCGCTGGTGCTTTCATGACATACGTTACGAATGCCCAATTACCGTTCACTGAAAAGACTGCTACTCCACTTTTTAATTCATAATAGAGAAAAGGTAATATGCTTAGAATGACTCTGAAAAAGAAATGAGGATTTCCATGAAGAGTTTAGACACTGTCGATGCTGCCTGACTTCCAGGATGAGACTCATGTGACCCATATGCTTGACTAGGGATGGTGAAGGATCTAGTGGTCAATAGCGTTCGTGCTGCCAGTTTCTTTCCAAGCTGTGTCTGTAGGTAGGCTACGCTAAACTGGCGCTAGTTCCCTATCCCTCTTCTGTCTTATTATGGGGCTTCCTTCAAAAAAACTTACATGATTATGCGGCAGTGAAGCACTCTTGTTGTTCGCCAGTGTTGCCAATACTGGCGAGTATGTCGCAAGTGACTGCGTGCCGTTATTCAGGCACTTTTATGGTGTTTTCCATTCTTGGGGCACATTTGGCCCCGGACCGTGCACCCCCTACCTGTTAAACATGGAAGTGATTGATCAAACCGCACAGTCCGATCATGCGGTTTGCCATATTTTTTGCCATAATTTTTTGACCAATATAATTTGGTTGTTTCAGCCTCCAATCTACTCTAATGATGCGGATGTTTGAAAACACGGTCTTTTATCCGTATTTGTATCCTGTGTCGCTCTGATTACAATCATGCGTCCTGGAAAACTGTTTATTTCTTGTCCAATCTTCTATGTGAATTCCAGTAAGTTTCTTTTTTGCTGACCCCATGAATTTGATTCACCATAACTGCTTAATTACACAGGCTGTTTGAGTCTATAGACAACAACCTACCTTGCATCATTGAAAATCTACAACTGAGGGAAGTTAGTCATTTTTAGGGATGAAGCAGGTGAACCTTTCTCACTGTGCATAGTGTCACGTCGCAGGTTATACCACAGAGGCTTCAGTCGATGTTATGGGGTGGGTTCTGTCATCGTCACTTGTACTAATTGTGTCGAGTTTACATAATCCGTTGAATCCTTTGCTGGTATCTTGTGCATCTCAGTGCTCTTAAGATCGGTGCAGAGCAGGTTTCTTACTAGTATGTGTCAACACATTCACCATGAATGAGTGTATATTATGGCCTTAAAAAATTCTGGAGACCTACTACATTATATCTCTTAGTCACACATCAAAGGATGTAAGGAAATCGAACAGGTAGTCGCACTGATGCACCAGGGTACGAACAGCCGGAACCGGGGAACTAAGTCTGACTATAAAACAAGCACCCAAATATGCTCGAACCGCAGTGCAACGAATGCCTATGCACTGTGCTTTCCAGAATGATGTTAAGGACTGATTGAAACCCCAACCGCTGTTGCCCACCTTGTTTCCTACGAAATGTTGCGTTTTAACTTCCATTTCCAGTGTACATTTGCCATCCTGTCGTTCTCTGGGATGCGATCCAAAAATGTAGTGCAGCAGGACCATTTTTACTTTTTTCTTTGTACGGACTTATTTCGCGCTACATGTGGAATAACCGGCAGTGGATGACCATGATAATCACATTCTATAGTGTTCCATCAATCCTCAGGTTGGCAGAATAAAAACTCTCGTCGTTGGATTCTACCATGTCAACACAGTAAGGGATTTTTCTGTTCCACTCCCAAACGAAGCGTTTTTGGAGGCTTTGTTTGCTATAGTGCGTCTCAGTAAACATTCCACCGTAGATGGTAACATGGAAACAAAATTTTCATTGAAAACATCATTCTACTCCCGTTATGTTGTCTTCGTGCTTTAACTTGATAGGCTACCATTTATAGAAAGGGTCGGGAAATTGAGATCTCCAATTTAAAGGTAACCACAACCCAATTTG